AGGGTGATGGGAGGAGGTGGGAGAGGGTACATGGGGAATAAATGGTGATGAAAAAAATAATATAATATAGTGAAGAAAAAAGTTTGCTAAAATTGGATTAATTTTCAAATGTGTTTGTAAATATTTGAATTAATTTTGCTAACCTGTAGAGAGCACCTGGGAAGGCACATGGGCATTTCTTTAATTATTGTCAGCTGAATCCAGTGGCATTGGCAGAGCCATGTCCTGGAAACACGCCTTGCCAGGGGCAGGAGTGTTGTCAGCTTGACCTTCAGCCCAGGTGCCAGGGGGTGGGTTTCGTTATCTAAATCCAGCCAAACACCAGGAATGAATATGACTCAGGCCCACCCAAGAATGCATTTAATCTCCTTTGTCTTGACCTTTAGTAAAACTTCCTTGTTTTTGCTGTATAAAATAAAGGCGCTGTATTGGCTCTGGGTCACTGTTTTTCCATCAGAGGACAGTGGTCCCACCTGGCCCCAGCTTTCTCCTTCCATCTCTGTGTCTGTCTCTTTCTTTCATTTTTTTCAATCTCCAGCAGCCCCCTACTCAGAAACCGGACCACTCTCTAGCCGCGCTGGACGTGGAAAAGAGAGAAATATTTACACTAACCAAATTCCCTTTCTATTTGACCATCTTGGAAGGCATATAAATTATATACAGTCATATACCTGCCTATATGTCACCCTTAGATGAGAACATGCCCTTTGGAAGAACCACACCCATTTACTGACCTCTTCAATCTATGCTTTTTCCCTGTGCATCTGTCCATTTATTCCTTATTTCAGCAAATACAGAGTGTCCCCAAACTGTACATGCACTTTGAATGATTATAAAGTCAGTGTTATTAACATACAGTTCATTTTCAAATTTTAAAAGAATCTACAGAAATGAATAACTTTTTTGTCAAACTGATGATCATTCTGGTCCAGGCACTGCTGATAACGCAAAGCAATGAAATCGCAAACATCAAGAATCATTTCATTAGGGTATTTGTGTGCCCTCATTTAGTTAACTGTTGCTGGTTTTGTACTATAAACTTAAAGATGTCTGGTGGTACTTTAGAATAAGTTTTCTTTGTTCAAAGCTTAGTCTGGCTTTACCCATTATTTCAAATCAGTTAAACCTGAAAAGGAGTAAAAATTAAGTAAGTTATCAGCTGTTAAATTGTGTACATTTTGGGAGGACACCCTATATTTAATGAATATTTACTATGTGCCAGGCATTATATTGGGTGGGAATATTTAGTGGTTAATTATGACGATGATAATGTGTTATGTGCCAGTATTGTATAAATACTTTAAAAACCATGCCTTCATGAAGTGTATGGTCTAGTTTATAATCTAAAAGGGAAGTAGCAACTAATAAATTGGTTGCAATAACAATAAATGCTAAGGAGGAAACCTATAGGAGCCTTAAATGACAGGGTTATGTTCTGAACATCAGGGATAACATCCCTGAGAAAGCTTAAGACATGCTCCCGGTTTCCACCAACCACCCTCTTCATCTTGCTCTAGTTGTTCAATATAGCTTTTCTCTGACAACCAATGCTATATCCCCAGGAACCTTCCTCGGCCCTTTCCTCCCTCTCACCCCTTTCTCTGCTGTGTCCCAGGCTGCTCTTAAGTAATGAGCCCATACTCAGCGTCCATCTCCATATTTAGGTAAATACACTTCATCCACTGAATATGCAAAGACTCACATGAGCACTCACACATCATACAAGTAAAACCAAAGAGAAAGCAGGAATCGCTGATTGAAAGCTACTTTCCCCCCAAATTCTTACACATAACTCCTATCCCCAGTCTGTTCTCTTTTATTGCAAGAAAGATAATGTGAATGGGAAGGCAGGAAGGAGGAAGAGAATAAAAGAAGGGAAAAAGAAAGTAAGAAGAAAGAGAGTTAAGGATACTGGCATACAAAGTTCATTATCTCTTTAGGAAAACTCTGACATGCCTTTTGGCTCCCTCCCTTTTTTCCCTCTTCCTCTTATTTTTTAATTCTACTATTTGACTAAGAAAAAACAAATAGTTCACCTATTTCTCCCATCTCCCACCTCTGCCTCTAACAACTATCAATCTGTTCTCTATATCTATGAGCTTGGTTTTATTTATTGTTTTTAGATTCCACAAGTAATGCTGCAATTACCCTGGGGGTGCACTGCATATATTTTTTTGAGTTAGTGTTTTTATTTTATTTTCTTTATTTTAAAAAATATATCTTTATTGATTTCAGAGAGGAAGGGAGAGGGAAAAAGAGATAGAAACATCAATGATGAGAGAGAATCATTGATCTGCCTCCTGCACATCCCCCACTGGGGATCAAGCCCACAACCCTGGCATGTACCCTTGACCGGAATCAAACTTGAGACCCTTCAGTAGGCAGGCTGACGCTCTATCCACTGATCCAAACCAGCTAGGGCTTTATTTTCTTAGAAAAATATCCAGAAACAGAAATGCTGGATCATATGGTTGTTCTATATTTTTAATCCTCACCCAAGGTAATGTTTTATTGATTTTTAGAGAGAGGGGACGAGAGGGAGAGGGAGAGGGAGAGGGAGAGGGAGAGGGAGAGGGAGAGGGAGAGGGAGAGGGAGAGAGAGAAACATCAATCGGTTGCCTCTTAAACACGCCCTGACTGGGAATAAACCTAGGTATATACAACCTAGGTATATACCCTGATGGGAAATCAAACCTGCAACCTTTTTGTGAGCAGGACAATGCTCCAACCAACTGAGCCACCAGCCAGGGCTGGTTGTTCTATTTTTAATTTTTTGAGGAGCCTCCACACTGTCTTTCATAGTGGAATTTACATTCCAACAACAGTGCACAAGGGCTCTCTTTCCTCCACATCCTTACCAACACTTGTTATTTCTTGCTCTTCTTCCTTTCACTTTTCATTTGTATTCTTTTTTATCACCTTGGATTTCAACAAACATAAATGCATAATTTAAAACTCATATTTTAGCTGAAACCGGTTTGGCTCAGTGAATAGAGCATCGGCCTGCGGACTGAAAGGTCCTGGGTTCGATTCCGGTCAAGGGCATGTACCTAGGTTGCGGGCACATCCCCAGTAGGAGACGTGCAGGAGGCAGCTGATCGATGTTTCTCTCTCATCAATGTTTCTGACTCTCTATCTCTCTCCTTTCCTCTCTGTAAAAAATCAATAAAAAAATAAAAAAATAAAACTCATATTTTAGCATGAATATACTTAGTTCTTTCCTCCTACAGATTACACTGTAATGCAAATGTCAGCCCCTGAGGGCTGTAAACACTCCATAGTATTCAGGTTACCTTCATTTTCAGTAAAGTCCACCAAACCTCTTAATTCAAATTAAAGATGTATCAATTTGTAAGTCTCTTAGCCATTTCTGACACAGGAGACTATTGCCTGGTCAACCTCCTTCCAGACAAAATGGCCACCTTGGAAAGTTGTTAGTTGTTTGTTTTCCCTCATCGCTTTCTTCTTCTCGCTCATTCTCAGGATGTCTAGAGAACTCGGGCTTCTTATTTTAACATTCAGAGCAATCTCACTCCCAGCCCAGTCTATACTTATACCGGCAGACATTCCACAAAACAAATGGGCCATCCCAACACTTATCTCAAGAAATGCATTTGTTTTGCAGAAGATAGATTTTTTTTCCTAGCTCTTAAACTGACAGTTTCTTGTTTCCTCCTTATTACAATTTTGAAAGCATATTGTAAATAAAAATAAAAAATAAAACAAAAGCAAACAGAACTAATCAATCTTGAGAAATAATATTGAAAGGTAAAATATGCAGTAATAAATATGTTTTAAAGTCCTAGCTAGTGCCTTATAGTACAGTATACTCTATTGAAACAATAATAATGAAATTCTGTCCAACAAATACAAGTTTTGTTCAACTGTACATATATGTGTGTGTATGTCTATCAGTTCCTAAAATAGTAATTAAAAGTCTAATATTTGGCATAACACAGTGTGAGGACAAAGAAAACAGAAACCTCAGAAATAGCAGCAGAGTTGTGACTCTTGAAAGTCAGAGTCACAAGTGTGTGTTTGTGTGTGTGTGCGCGCGCACGCGGTGGGGGGTGGGCGGGAATGTTGCTTGGAAAGGTGGGGATAGTAAACATAAGAACTGTTAAAGTGGCCACTCAAATGACAACTATACCCAACACATCAACGTGATCCATTGGTGTGGCCTTCCTCGGAAACTCTGAATTGATCAACCTGCCAAGCTAAGGCTCGAAGTGCAACCTGGCAGTAGGTCCCGTCTGAGCCTCCAATGATCAAACGCACACCTTGTGAAAGAGCCAGAAAGGAAAGCCAGGCTGGAGCTAACCCAAAACACATATCACGTCCTGGGAAAGTGTCAGTAAGTCTGGAACAAACACATTTTTGAAACAAAACGAAAAAAGAAAAAAAGAAAAAAGTAGCAAGCCTTGACAGGCATTCATGAGAAGACTGAAAGGAGGGGAAGGTGGTAAGTACAGCTGACTCAGAGAGCATGTTGAACATTCTGAAACATGTAGTTACACTCTGCTTGGGGATGACATACTCAAATGCAGCATGATTGACAATGACACATTTGCAAAGCTCTAAGTTGGAAATGAGTTTTTAATTAGCCCCCCCCCCCCCCCCCCTTCCAAAAAGCCTTTTTTCTTCCACTCATGTCAACTCACAAGGTGGCCATTTTAGTGAAATACCCAGTGGCAGCACTGAGTGCATTTATCACGGCTTGTTATCTGGCCACATTTTTGTGGTTTAAATTTCTTGGTAAGAATGGTTGTCAATTGGACCAATAATAGCTTTGAGATTTGGTGTTCAACATGCCAATGGAATCAGGGTACAAACTGTACCTGTTAGTGTCAAATATCATTTCCTGCCAAAGTGAGTCAATTCTGATTTGCATTTTTTAAAAAGGAAAGGAGGAAAGAAATGAAGGAAAGAAGGAAAATATGGAGAGAGGAAGGAAGTTATTTTTTAATAATATGTAGGTAGCTGGCTGTCTTATAGTCATTTTTGGTTTTTTAATAATTTTTTTATATTGCAATTACAGTTGGAGAAAGCCATATGAGAAAAAGCATCCAACTACAGGCATCCTTTGCTTTTTGGAAGTTGCTTTATGCTACTGAACTTTTTAAGGAAGAAACTTTTTAATTGAGGTAAAACTGGTATATAACATTTTAGAATGTATCGTGAAGGCCACATTCTTCCATGAATGACCTACATTAATACCTGTTTTCACTAACTGAAAGAAATCAGAAGAGGACTTCCATTTTTTATGGAAAAAACATTGAAAAGCAAAAATAATGTTCAGCCTTTGTTTTGCAGGGAGCATTATAGAGGCAGCAGCACCCCAAGCAGCAAGAGTGGCCCCACCGAGCTCCTTCCCAGAAGCTACACTCAGCATCTCTGCATCAAGCCCCAGGCCTGGGAACTGTGTCTATGAGCATCTGTGCTGTCTCTGGGCTTAGTTTGTGCATCTGTGAGCAAGATGTGTCTGTCCTAAGGTAATTGCTTCTGTACTTTGTGCCATCTTGGCTCACAAAAGGTCTCATAAGAACACTCCCCATTTGGATAGCTGGGGGAACTTGTACAAGAAGTCATGTTTATCTGACACATTTTAAACATGAGAGAGAAAGAAATTGGAGTCAACCCTTTTTTATGAGTTTGACAGAATCAAAATACTTTTGCTGTTTTATAAGGTGAAGTAAGGGTAATTGATGGCATTCAAAGTCTTCCAGAAAGAACATTTTTAATGGCACACTTAGGAAAATGGTAAATTAGGAAAAACAAATTACTGGCATCCTCCAACCATCCTTTTCCCTCCCTTTAACTGAATATTTTTGCTATGGTTTTGGTCTGCTGAAATTCTCCAACTGAATCCACTTTTCACTAACATGCCTCATAACACAAATACTCTGTAATACTTTCTTCAATGCAAATGCCCTTTCTTTTACATATAACAATTTTAAAGAGCAATTTTATTGAAGAAATACATACTCAATATGAGTGGCTAAGTCACAACCCCCAAAAAATATTTTCTAATTAAAATCAATTGGTGGTATGTGTAGAAAGGTTTCATTTGTTTGTTTGTTTGTTTTTATTTGTTTGGCATGGAAACATTCAAAGTACTCCTTGCTTATTCAGATAGAGTAACCTTTTATTCCATGTATTTTAAGAATAATTGCATAATAATTCAATAGATTTTCTAATAGGCTGATGACTCTTGCAAAAAACTGATAACTTATTGCTCTGTTCATAGCATGGTGGCGTCTTCTTGACTCCATGACACTCTTCCCCTCTTATTGAAGCCAGTTCGTATTGAGGACGGGTCATGAATGTTCATCCCCAACTCAGGAGTCAGGATGAGAAAGTCTTATTACTGTTTCCCCCAGGGTCAAGTGTGAGATAGCTCCTGGTCACCCACATGCCCATCCTGTTACTAAAGTTCCAACCCTACAACATGCTAGCCCAGCTCACATTGGTAATTTTCTGCCTCGGTTTCTCTGTCCTGCCCTGATTGCATCTTTCTTATGAGCCCTTGGGTTTTCATTACTCTCAGGATCCAGGGTTCTGGAAACATCCACCCACCTCCTTGAGCAAACCAAACACCTTCACTTCGCTGGAATTTTTGTATGTCACATGGAGCTCACACATCCTCATAAGATAATGAGGAATAGGTGACTTAACTTACATTACTCAGCCCTGTGCTGGCATATAGTATGTGTAATGTCTTTGACTTCCCTTCTAAAGAAGAGAGGCCTATCACAGGAAAACATTCAGTATAAGTTTGTACCAGGGCAATAGTTTATTTAGTGTCAATTAATAATTTTGGTTTCAAAATCACTAAGTGATGTATTTCTGTTTTTTCTGTGTTTCTCCAAACCCTTTTTTAAAAAGCCCGTTCCCAGATTTGTGAATATTTAAAATGATATTAAAAGATTCTGGGAAGAGACGGCAATGGAGACATAGTTTTGGGATTTTCATGAATCTCTACATGAATAACAAGCAAAGACAAAAAAAAACCCACAAACACCTACAACTAAATAAAGTAACACAGTATCCTTACAAATCTCAGCCACCCAAAGCAGAAATCCACAGAGCATGAGCAGCTGTGGAGGAGAAAGCAGAGGAAAAGCACAGGGTACTACTGTGAGCTATCGTAGCCACATCTTGCCAAGGGGCACTAGTGGAAACTCAGCAGGGCCAGCTATAAGCAACCATCACAACCACAGGTGAGCGCTGCAGGCTCTATCCAATTCATGGCTGATGCAAAGGGACCACGTGAGGCGTGACTGTGCTGGAGTGATAGGCACTGTGGACTCGTGAAACGAACCACACGAGGCTGCCTTCCAAGATGAAGCCCCGCACTAACGAGAGACTGAAGAACAGAATATAAACTGAAGAGCAAGGGGACGATAGGTGGCAGGTTGGTAGGCAGAGCACTGCTGTTTTACAGGGAGGTTCAGAGAAAGACTCATCTGTCAGATGACATGGGAGCAGAAACCTAAGGGAAATAAGAGAGTGTGCTGGCTTCCAATTGCTGCTGTAGCAAAGGATCACAGACTTTGAGGCTAAAAGCAACAGACATTTATTATCCTACTGGAGGCCTGATGCATGAGATTTGTGCACTGGTGGGGGGCGGGGGGGAGAGGAGGGGGTCCCTCAGCCTGACCTGCGTCCTCTCGCAGTCTGGGGCTCCCCGGGGGCAGTTGGACATCCTTAGCTTTGCCTGCGAAGGCAGGCTCCCGCCACTGCCACTGCGCTTGCCAGCTGTGAGCCCAGCTTCTGGCTAAGCTGCTCCCCCTGTGGGAGCACACTGACCACCAGGGGGCAGCTCCTGTGTTGAGCATCTTCCCCCTGGTGGTCAGTGCGTGTCATAGCGCCATAGCTCAGCTGTTCTGCCATTAGGTCAATTTGCATATTAGCCTTTTATTAGATAGGATACTTCTGGAGGTCAGAAGTTCAAGATCAGCCTCCCCTGACTAAAGGCAAGGTGTCAGCAGGGCTTGTTCCTTCTGGAGGCTCAAGAGGACAATCTAAGTCCTTGTCTTACTCAGCTGGAGGCTGCCTGCTTCCCTTGGCTCATGGCTCTTCCTCTCATCACTCCAACTTCTTGGTTTGGTTGCACATCTCCTACTCCACTCTGATCTCCTGTTTCCCTCTTATAAGGTCTCTTATGCTTACATTGGGCCCATCTAGATAATTTAGATAATCAAGGATAATCTTCTCATCTTAAAGTCCTTAACCACCTCTTCAAAGTTCTTTTCCCAATATAACATAACAAATTCACAAGTTTCAGAGATTAGAATATGGATATCTTTAAAGGGATATTATTCAGCCTATCAGAGTCAGCAAACTAAGACTAGCCTTTCTGTATAAAATGCAAAGTAAGATATACCTTCTACATGCTTAAAACTGTGATTGGTCATTATAATCATATTTCCACTAGGACTTAAACTACACTAGTTCCATATGGCTCTCAAAAATATTTAGAGTTTTAGAAACAGTCAATGTACTCTGGATTTAAATGATGTCAATGGAACCTGAGCAGAAAAGGCTGCAATGATGAGAAGAGGGTTTAGATTCAAGGCAAATATCTGCTCATTTCAATCCATTTCAAAATCTGGCATTTTTCTGGAAAGACTTAGTTAGGATGCCAAATTGTGCTTTAAATGAAAAAAAGAAATATACTGTATATCAAAAAGGATCAGGTTAACTTTTCACCTGCACTGGCTTAAGACTGTCAAGACATAACAAGTCTACATTGATGAATCAATGTTTTTAATATCCTCCCATTGCTGAGCATTTGTGTTAATTTAAATAATCTGATATAATTCACAGAAAACTGCTAACCTTTGGGAAGTGGAAATATGAAGATATTTTCAATCATTCATGGTCATTAATATGAAAGGCAATGTTTTATTAAAAACTAATAATTATGCCCAAAGATGTTAATGGTGTCCATGGATGGAAGCAACTGGTTCACCAAACATGTCTTTATGGAGAAAATCAGTTAGAAGTACTTATGCCAGAGTTGAGTCTGGAAAATAATACAGAATTATGTATTTTACAGTGGAAAACTTGGCAAATAAACTTTATATATATATATATATATATATATATATATATATATATATATATATATATATATAGGCTTCATAGTAGAAGACAGAATTTAAAGAAAAAATTTAAAATAAACATGCATATAAATAACCATATAAAAATTTAAAATCTCATCTAATATCTTATCAAGGAAAGAAGACCCATTAGAGTCTAAACCAGTGATGGCAAACCTTTTGATCTCGGCGTGTCAGCATTTTGAAAAACCCTAACTTAACTCTGGTGCCGTGTCACATATAGAAGTTTTTTGATATTTGCAACCATAGTAAAACAAAAATTTATATTTTTGATATTTATTTTATATATTTAAATGCCATTTAACAAAGAAAAATCAACCAAAAAAATGAGTTCGCGTGTCACCTCTGACACGCGTGTCATAGGTTCGCCATCACTGGTCTAAACTCTAGAATCTAGAACTATATCTTCTCAGTGTGACTCACTAGCCCTTGTGATCTTAGTTACTTAAACTCTATAAATTCAGTGTTCTGTCTACACAATGTGGAAATATATATATTCCCACCTATATTAGTTGTGAGGATTAAATGATATTATGTAATGTTAAACCTATTCAGGGTTGAGCCATAGGATAAAGCTTTTGGTAAATATATGCTACTACTGCCCAGCTGGTGTGACTCAGTGGTTGAGTGTCGATCCATGAACCAGGGGGTCACGGTTTGATTCTTGGTCAGTGTACTTGTCCAGGTTGTGGGTTTGATCCCCAGTGTGGGGTTTGCAGGAGGCAGCCGATCGATGATTCTCATCATTAATGTTTCTCTGCTGGGGTCCAATCTCAGCGGGTCCAGGGGTCCCCAAAGGTGTGGACGGAGTCGGCGAAGAAGGAATGACACGGAGACAGCCTTCAGTTGATCAGCAGCCTAGTCAGGACCTCTAGCCAGGATCTCCAGCCAAAGTTCTGGTTAGGATCTGATGTTTATTGTCTTGTTACATCTGTATTTATACCAGTTGATTTTAATCCTGTCAATTTCTATTGCAAAGGTTAGGGCACTTCTTATCTCCATTCCAGGGAGTAAAGATTATGTAGCTTAAGCGTGATTGTTTGTAGTTAAAGTGATTAACTACCCACCTGGCACTTAGTTAAGGGGTTGTATCCCCTCCCTAACCTCAGGGAAAAATCCCCACCTGGGGAAACAACCTTTCTCAGAGAGGTGACCTTGGTTAAAACACATGGCGCTAAGGAGAGCAAACATATTAAGAACAATATGCTATATATGCCAGGTCCCTTGAAACATATGCTGTGCAGATGTTTCTTTCCTGCAGCGACTGTGTCAAGCAGCAAGGATGGACCGGCTTCTGGCAAATTCCCCCTTTTTTATTTTTTAAATGATAGCGCATGCAAATCAGTGGCCACCTCTCAGATTGGGCT